GGGACCTTCCCACCCCCCACACCACGAGGAAATCAGTGAGATATTCTCCAAAAAAAAACCCCTTTTTTGGTTATTAAGGGTGAACCCTGCCCTTTCCAAGGAGTTAAATCATTTAAACAATAAATAAATACGGAATTAAAAAGCATTTTCAAGCCCTGCACACCCTCCCTGGGCACCTGCACGGGGATTTCTGTGCAATTAGACACACACACACACACCCAGCAAGGGCACGAGGGTTATTTAACCCTCAGGAGGAAATATTTGTAAATACAGTCAGGATTATGTAAGATTGAACCTAAAAAAAAAAAAAAATAAAAAATCACTTTATATCTCCTGAAGACCCCAAAAGGCTGTGGGATTTCTGGTTTCCCCTTCCCTGACACTTTGCACCTCCCAGGTGCAGGGAAGTCCTGGCCACAGTTCAGTGATTCCAAACTGCTTAAAGACAGGTTTGTTTTTAAGTTTTAAAATTATTGAAGTGGATAAAAACTCCCCTTCCTTCGTGTCTGAGACGGGCAGGGGGGATCTGACAGTGCCATGGGGTGAAAACACTGAATTTCCTTGGTTTTTCAGCTCCAAACTCCTCAAAACCTGACTCACGACCCCAAAAAATTCCCAGGAGCTGTTCTAGGGCAGGAAAATCCCAGGGAGGAGCTTTAAAAGCCACCAAAATCCCACGTTTTTCCCCCCAAAATTGCCAGTTTGGGCCCCAACCAGCACCGAGCACAAAAGGGGCTTCGCTGCACCAGCAGCTGATGGTTTGGAAAGGGAAAATTCAGGCTTTGAAAATCCAAATACAATCCGTGAAGGGGGAAATTTGGACACTGAAAAGCCAAATCCAACCCTCAGGGGGGGAAATTTGGACACTGAAAAGCCAATTCAAATCTGTGAAGGGGGAATTTGGACACTGAAAAGCCAAATCCAAACTGAGAAGGGGAAATTTGGACACTGAAAAGCCAAATCCAACCCTCGGGGGGGGAATTTGGAAAATCCAACGCTGCCCAGGAGGGGGAATGTGGACACTGAAAATCCAAATCAAACCCAAGGTGGGGGGAAAGGGGAAATCTGGGAAATCCAACCCACAGAGGGGGAAATTTGGACACCGAAAAGCCAGATCCAACCCTCGGGGGGGGGGGATTTTTTCGGAAGGGGGTGGGGGGGAACACCGGGAAAGGTGGAAAAAGGAACCGGAGCACCTACCGAGAACAGGGTGGAGTAGGTGGAGAGGGCAAATTTGATGCCGTAGTAATAGAGGTGGGAATTCTGGCACCGGGAATCTTGGGCCATCCCCGGGAGCTCCTTCCCGGCCGGTTCCTGAGAGGGGGGAAAAACAAACCACACAGCACAAGAAACGAGGGCTTTGAACTTGAACTGCTCGTTTCCAACTTCCGCCTGGCAGGAGCCGGAGCAATCAGGGGGAAGGAGAAGTTAACCCTTTGCTGAGGTTCGGGGCTGGGTTTTCCTGCCCCAAGAGCTGCAGCAAAGCTCAGCTTGAGACCTAAACCTTGAGGTTTAGGTCAATTATTACCCCCCAGAAAAAATGGGTGGGTGGTAAATGAACCTTTACCAGAGAGCTTGTTGAAAGCGTTGAAATCCTGCGGCTCTCCCCGGGGGTGATTTCGGCAAAGGGTGAAGGGGAAGCCCAAAATCTTGGGAGGAATTCACCACTGGGAGCCTGGAATTGTCTGGAGTCACCTGCCAACAGCTGGGAGGAGGAAGGAGAA